GTGTGTGTGTGTGTGTGTGTGTGTGTGTGTGTGTGTGTGTGTGTGTGCGCGCGCTCGCAAGCATGCAACCGCGTTTCTTTGCATGTGTATGTGAAATGCATACGTACGAGTGTGTGTTGGTGTGTGCGTGTGTGTGTGTGTGTCAGGGTCAAGGTGGAGGGCCGTCGTTACAAACAAGTGATGTCTGAGATCCCATTAACTCTTGTATTCAGCAGCACATTTCTGTTCAAATAGAGTGGAGATAAAAGGCAGCAACAATACGGCGATGAATCAAAGGCCTTTCAAGTGAAATTAGACTACAGAGACACCATTTCCTCATGCACTTTAGAGAAAGGTGTCGATATCTAATTGTAAAGTAATCGCGTCTTTGAAGTAATTACATCTTTGATGTGACCAACAAACACAAGATTTATTATTCAGCGCTGCTGCCGTCGCTGTTGGGCAGTGTGTTGCTTCATGTGCTTACATTATTAATGAATGTATGTACAGTGATAAACGCTTTCAATGTAGCTGAATGTGTCAAACTACCTCTAGCTGTGGTTTCTTTACCCAAAGAAGACATAGTTAAAGGTATTGTGTTGTCTCTAGTCAAACTCGAGATAATGAAAATGTGTGTGAAGAAGATCCATTCGGACTGGTCCTCAGGGCTTCCCAGTATGCGTATTATTTCCCCGAATAAAAACACGAGCAAATCAAGGCTGAAAACCCTGTATTTACCAATGATTTGTGCTGTGGACTTATTCTGACGATTTATGTCATCCTGCAAGGGTGGGTAACTCTACCCCTGTAGATTAATAGCTGAGTGAAGTTTTCCATGTGTGTCCGTTGCGTATGTGTGTGTGTGTGTGTGTGTGTGTGTGTGTGTGTGCACCTGAACATATGTTACTCCTGTTACCAAAAACATAGCTGCGAGTTTCCGTTTTCAAAGATGTGTTATTTGATCTTTTGCGCACGTGTGTGTGCGTGTGTGTTTGCGTGTGTTTCTTGCATGCATGTACACGCTCGTCTGTTTCAGCTAAGGTAATTATGTGTGAGTGTACGTGTGTGTGGTGGGGTGAGGGGGGGATTTCTTCTCTCTTTTTTATTTTTTTAAATACAGTGGGCTTGATAATTATGGGGTTAAATGAGTGCTCTCAGTCAGCCTCCCTGAGTGTGTGTAAAAAAAGGAAGGCGCAGCGAAAGCCACTTCAAGGCCGGCTAATTACCCCGAGGAAGAGAGGAAACATAAATGGACGATTTTGCGGCTGTAATGTTACAGCAAAACGGCTACACCGACCTCAGCACGTGAAACGGAGCCACCGCTACTTCTGAAGGCTCCTGCACAGATGTGTGTGTGTGTGTGTGTGTGTGTGTGTGTGTGTGTGTGTGTGTGTTTGCATCCATATGTGCAGAATCAGTCGAAGCAGAATGTGTGTGTGTGCATGCGTCTGTACAGGAGGCGAGGTGTGATTTGTGTATATTCTGTCTCGTTGTCTGCAGGAATGGTGGTTTTCAGTGGTCGGTTATTCTTTTTATGCAACACGTTAACACTCATTTAAATATCTGGAGCAGTCGTGGACTCCGATGCAGTCTCACTGCTGACGCTATCTACCCAGTTTTGGGATTTTCCCTGCAAAATGTCATCGCTGTTGCTAAAAACAAAGTGAGGTTGAAGCGTGTCCTTTTTCCAGGACTGAGCTGTGTGACTCGCTGTGTAAATCTCTGATTTGCGTCACAATAAGCGGTGATTAAGAGCAGCAACAGATGTATCTACGAGTTCAGATATTCTGAAGGCAACAGTCACAAGTTGTAGCCACACGCTCCAAATAAAGAAGACAACTTTCAACTAACAACAGGGCGAGAATAGGTAACGTTGGAGTGATCTTTGTCAGCCTTTATTGAGTCTACTGAGCCACTAACCAGGGCTGTTAGTCCGTGCACTTTTAGATCATTTGTTTGTTGGCAGAAACGAGAAAAAGACTCGTCCTTTCGTCCTCCCCGCCACCAGGAGACTAGACCTTCAGTTAGCAGAGCTACAAGACAGGACGGGCCGCGGCTAGCTGGTTAGCATGCTCATTTCAGTAGATATCTCTGCAACACTGTTTGCATATTCTATGACATAACTAATACCAGTGGAAATTTAGGATTTTAAATCATGTTAAATCATCTGGCTGAAAAATACCCAAATTAGTTTTTACCATGCTCAGTAATTTGTATTATCTGCAATCTTTGTTTATTTTCATCCAACCATCTTGAGTTGTTTTGTGAAGCATGAAACAAGTAGATCTCTTCCATCCCACATGACATGTTGTGTTTGATAAGATGTGTCCACCGGGGATGATTTATGTTGTCTTTGTTGTCGTCCTGTGAGGTGTCCAACGTGTCATTTAGTCAAAATCTCTCCATATTCCTTAACCTGCAAGGCTCCTCCCGCATGTCTGAGGGGCTTCTTCAGCCTGTACCGAATGCAGAGCACCTTATCTAGAACCTCACCTCCTCCACCCTCTCTATACATCCTCCCCCCACGCTCAGACCTACCCCCCTTCGGCCCTCTCCCGGTACAGAAGCAGTGCATTTTTTTGTTTTCATGTGTCTCTACACTCAAAGCGGCTGAGCAGTTTGATCTTAGCTCCGAGGCTAGCCGCGTAGCATACACATGAGGGTCCGTTTGTGCATGTGTGGCTAATGAGACAATTTGAGATGTGGCTGGATAGGAAAGGAGCCGTGGAAAGTGTGTGTGTGTGTGTGTGTGTGTTTTAATGTGGAGAGGAGCGTGTGGAAGCTCTGCCTTTAAGTGATAAGGTATTCACTTTGTAACTCAGCAGGAGGCCCGGCGAGTAGCAGCAGATCTGCCCCTCTGCAGTGCTGATGTTACACACTACACACACACACACACACACAGGCTCGTCCATCTCTAATGTACAAAATAAAATAACTTTTCTCAGATATATTCATATACTTTCAAATCGGCGCCCCCGCCAAGCTTTTTCAAAGACTTAACACAGCTCAGAGACGCACACAAACACTCTATATGCTTCTTTACGCATCCACCCACTCACAAACACACATTCCCACTCGCACAGAAAGACGCCTATTTATACTGGCCTCCCACCGAAATAGTTACACAGCCCGGTCCACACACACACACACACACACACATGGCGTGGTTCAAACACACGCTGCCTGGTTAGCTGCCTCCATCTTTGCAAACCGCTGTGACATATCGTATGTCAGCCGGCATGCTGCGAGCATTAGCAATAACTGGATTTCACGTAAGTTATTGAAAGCCATTTGTAAACAGAAACATGAAAGCAAACAAGCTCGCATGCAGCCTCACTTGAGCATTAAAGGCTTATCGATCAAATGGGCCTCCTCCTCCTCCTCCTCCTCCTCCTCCTCCATGCTCCACTGAAAACCAATGGGAGCAAAGTACAGCCCATCTTGTTGGTTCCAAACCAGCTTTAAGATGTCCAGTGTGTGTGTGTGTGTGTGTGTGTGTGTGTGTGTGTGTGTGTGTGTGTTCAGCTGGGTTTTTGTATCTACGCACAAATGTCCCCACGAGTGACTGAGACAATGGCGTCGGCACCTTGGTGTGTTTGCATCTCCAAATATCAGCGATTGAATCAGAGAAGAAACGAGACGGAATTGTGATTTTGTTCAAATCATTTTGTGTTTGTTTCTGGTTGTATGTGATGCCTTCTTTTAGCAAATGGGTCAAAGTGCCCCATTGTCCTGTTCTTTGATCGTCTTTGGCTTGGAATTATCTCAACCTAGATATTTTCCGAATACAACCCATCATTTATTTTATTTATAATATTTCCATCAACGTTTGAATTCCTATGATATTACATTTCTAAGATATGGGAAATGTATCTGTCTGAGGATGAAGTCAGCCCAAGCTGTCTTTACAGTCACTTCCTGGTTCATATTTGACCGATCCTGTCATCATAGTCTCTGCACTTGCAGGTTTATACTGAATGACATGACTGCAATGAGTGTGTTGACCTTAAAATAAGTGTTTCATGTGTTTGAGACTCTCCTCAATCAGAGCTCCTGCAGACCTAAATCTCACCAACCAACTTTGTGTAATTGTGGAATTATTATTATTAATCTGAATTAAATTTGTATTTTGTCTCGTCAACAGTCCAACAAAGTGTCGGTGGTGCAGCAGTCTCACGGGATGCACCCGCTGACGTCCCTGCTGCCCTACAGCAACGAGCACTTCAGCCCGAGTCCTCCACACCTGCCCACCGACATGAGCCAGAAGACAGGTGAGACACACACTCACACACGTATTGTAGGAACAGTCATGGAAACGCTGTGTAAAACACACACACAGCCGTCATAACTGATGCTCAAATACAGCGTTCAACTTTTAAGAGGTCACACACACAGAAGTAAACACAGACAGACTCCAGACAGCTGCTGTATTGTTGCTGAAATCTTCGTCCACATACAGACACTCCAATCTGTTTGTGCTGTCGACGGAACATCATTCATCACATTCACACACTCGTTTTACCAGGAACACACACACACAAGCAATAAAACATATCAAATGTAATATATTCCTATTCTTGTTATTTCTTTTACCCTCTTCTATACACACACACACACACACACGCAATACATTCATGTTTATCAAATCCCTCACCTCTCCTCACACATGGACACACTCACACACACACACACACTCAGGCACGCACACAGTGTGTGAAGTGGCAGCACCGGCTCCGCCAGCCTGTGGCGGTTCCACGGCTCTTCTGAAGTGGCCTGCTCCTCTGAAGGGACCGCCAGTCACACACACACACACACACACACACACACACACAAAGATGGAAACAATTAGAGTGACAATCGCACAAGCCATCGCTGCAGCACACAGGAGGTTCTCCTTAGTGAGCGCTGTGCATCCAAACACACGCTGTACTCTGGTTGGAAGTCACAACACTGTAGGACTTTTTCGAGAGGCGGAGCTTAAAGGTGTCTGCAGTGCTGGTTGTGGTCCGTCTGTCTCGCAAGATATCTAAACATCTGAACACATTACTGTTGGATTTGCTGAATCCCAGAGGATTATGGGCTGCCTCACCATCTTTCGTCTAGTCACTAGGCGAAATCTGAGCACACTTTCTTTCATGCTCCCCAGAGGAATAACCTTACATGTATTAAAAGAGGAGCTCCACCGATTTTACACATCAAAGTCAGTTTCTTTTAGCTCTTGGGGAGTTCTACTGTGAAGAGAAAGAAAAGAGTTGTGGCTCCCGAGGGAGTTGCACAAAATCTGATAAATGTGTTGGTTGGGGTTGAAGACTACAAGTTTATAAATGATAACAAATGTGGAGTTTGAAAGTTCATCTCTATAAAAAAGATTCTGCATTAACAATGAAATAACGTCATCAAACACAAGACATAGCGTGCATCAACAAATAGGAAAAAGACGAGTGCAGGCAGAGGTCGGCTGCACTAAACTCACAGCTTAATACGTCGCGCCCTGATGAGATGAGGAGGTGAAATTCGCAAAAAAAACGCCAGTTGAACAAAAGTCTTTTCTGGGCTCTGATTAGATATTGGAGCGTGACCTCAGGCACTCTCCGTCTGGAAACCCCCTAATCCTAGAAAAACACTCCCCGGGTCTGGTCTAGACTCTGTGTGTGTGTGTGTGTGTGTGTGTGTGTGTGTGTGTGTGTGTGT